GCTTCTATTGTCTTCATTTGTAAGTCGCTTTGGATAAAAGCGTCTGCTAAATGACTGAATGTAAATGTAATGTAAATGTATAAATAAATAATCCAGCTTACAAAATCACGTTTCCACCATGGGATAAAAAAGGAAAGGTTTATCTCACAATTCTAACTTTTTTTCTTGTAATTCTGACATTTTTCTCAGAATTGCAATATATAAACTCCAAGTTCTGACTTTTTCTCTCACAATTCTGAATACATATTTCAATTTTAAATTTATATCTCACAATGACTTTTTTTTTAAGAAAGTCCAATTTTACATCTCACAATTCTGTCTTGTTTTCTCAGAATTCTGAGTTTACATTTCCCAATTCAGATTTTTCCCCCCCTCTGATTTCTGAGTTTACGTCCTCCAAGTTCTGACTTTTTCTCTCACAATTCTGAATACATATTTCAATTTTAAATTTATATCTCACAATGACTTTTTTTTTAAGAAAGTCCAATTTTACATCTCACAATTCTGTCTTGTTTTCTCAGAATTCTGAGTTTACATTTCCCAATTCAGATTTTTCCCCCCCTCTGATTTCTGAGTTTATGTCTCAAAATTAAGTCTTTCGGTTATTTTGTTTCTGCCACATAATTTTGTGAGTTTATAGCTCACAATTCAGACTTTTCTTCTCAGAATAGCAAGTTTACATCTATTATATTTATACCTTTTTAATTCTTTTCATTCCGTGGCTGAAATGGGATTTCTATATTTTAGTAATATTCCACATGTCATATTATTAAATTCATACAGTCATTATCAGCAAAATGCTCCCACATTTCAGATTTTGCTATAAACATCAGTATTCTCTATATTGTTCCTTAAAAATCAGGACTAAATGGTTAATCGTGAACCATATTAAAATATTAAAATATATTTTAAAAATATTAAAATATATAATTATGTTGTTCTTCTACCCTTACAGCAGTTGACGCTTCAGCTGATGATGGCTGTTGGGACTGCTGTGATCGGCTCCTTGCAGTTTGGCTACAACACAGGAGTCATCAATGCCCCTCAGAAGGTGAACAATTTTAGACATATAACAGACATGACATGATTTGTCATATAAGCACTTAAGCATCAGCATATTGCTAATTGACAAATTGATATATGGGTATTGTTGATGTTTGTATGTTAGTGTTATTGTGTAATGCATCTAATTTTAGATTAGCTGTGTAAACTATGCTGTATTAATCCTCCTTCTTGCGTCGCCTTTTAAGATATGCTGATTCACACATGCAGAGCATTCTAATAATAGACCAGCACTACTGAAACTCTTCAGAAGAGATTCTTATAACAGCCTTTCCCTTTCAGTCGGTCACTCTCGACATCACGTCGGATGACCGGCTACAACACAGGAGTCATCAATGCCCCTCAGAAGGTGAACAATTTTAGACATATAACAGACATGACATGATTTGTCATATAAGCACTTAAGCATCAGCATATTGCTAATTGACAAATTGATATATGGGTATTGTTGATGTTTGTATGTTAGTGTTATTGTGTAATGCATCTAATTTTAGATTAGCTGTGTAAACTATGCTGTATTAATCCTCCTTCTTGCGTCGCCTTTTAAGATATGCTGATTCACACATGCAGAGCATTCTAATAATAGACCAGCACTATTGAAACTCTTCAGAAGAGATTCTTATAACAGCCTTTCCTACTGTCCATAAACGGGCAAGTACAAAGTTTGACAAATAGATTTCCATTTCAAGGCTACTGTTATGTACATCAAGTAATAAAAAAGATATTAGACTTGTCTGTAGTTTGCAACAAATATGTTTTTCACAATGAATGATGAATGAATAAATGACCTTGACCTCTTAATACGTCACATCAGCTAAGGGTTCTGGATAAATCTCACATATGCTTGAGAGAACTCTATATATAGAGTGCAAATCATGTGCCATAGTTTAGCGATAGTCTTTTATAAAGAGAGAAAGTCAAAAGTCAAGGACGCATAAGGACATCATTACTGTGAAATAATACTGTGATATTAAGATTATTAGTAAATTGTTGGTGAGCATTTTTTATATACATTTCAAATGTTTTTAAAATAGTTTTTGAAAGAAATCTTTATTGTCCAGTTTAATGCATCCTTGCTAAATAAAATTTATTTCATTTTTTTTTATATATATAAATCTGACCCCAAACTTTTGAATGGTAGCATGCAGGAACTGTTTATGAGTGAAGAGTTTTGAATATTCTTTTAATGTTATTTCTTTCTTGTTTCATATTTATTGAGGAAGAAACTGTTGAATCACAACAATAAGCCGAGGCCTAATCTAGATAATACACCTATGTTTGCAGTTTTGTATCAAGCGTAATTAAGCAGCTTCTTATGCAATCTGTTTTGACACTGTAGTCAGCATGAAGTACTGCTCCCTCTGCTGACGTAATGTAGAACTGCTGCAGCAAATGACTGTTGACTTACTGTACAATATAATTAAATCACAATTTATTTAATAATAGTGTGTTAATGATTATTTTTTTTAAAGAAAATTTTGAATTGAAATGAAATATCAAATAAACACCCTCCCTAATGATTTTCATAGAGTATGTTCTTTTCTCTCATAGACCATCGAGGCTTTCTACAATGAGACGTGGTATAAGAGGTACTCGGAGTACATACCGTCGACCACTCTAACTACACTCTGGTCCGTATCAGTGGCCATATTTTCTGTCGGTGGCATTTTCGGCTCCTTCTCAGTTGGGCTCTTTCTAAACCGCTTTGGCAGGTAACTTAACCAACCAATTCAGAACTTTACAAATACTCAATTTTTATCCTGAATTCATGTGTCTTTAAACATTCTCTGGTAACACTTTACAATAAGGTTCCATTAGTTAATGTTAGTTAATGTATTAACTAACATGAACAAACAATGAACAATACATTTATTACAGTATTTATTAATCTTTGTTAATGTTAGTTAATGAAAATACAGTTGTTCATAGTTAGTTCATGTTAATTCACAGCGCATTAACTAATGTTAACAAGCACAACTTTTGATTTTAATAATGCAGTAGTAAATGTTGAAATTAACATTAACTAAGATTAATAAATGCTGTAGAAGTATTGTTCATGCTTAGTTCACGTTAACTAAAGTAGTTAACTAATGGTAACTAATGAACCTTATTGTAAAGTGTTACCCATTCTCTTTCTGATCTTTTAACAGGAGGAACTCAATGCTCATTGTTAATGTTCTGGCCTTCATCGCTGCTGCTTTAATGGGCTTTTCCAAGCTGGCTGAATCCTGGGAGATGCTTATTATCGGACGCTTCATTGTAGGCCTTTACTCTGGCCTGTCCACAGGCTTTGTACCAATGTATGTAGGAGAAATCGCCCCAACTTCATTACGTGGGGCACTGGGCACACTTCATCAGCTTGGCATTGTCATTGGCATCCTCATAGCACAGGTCAATTAATATGTTATCTTTATTATGAGACCACTTTTAGTAATCATTTAGACTTTTACATTGCATAGATAGATGTGACCTTTTTGTGTATTTCATTAGAAACACTCCTGCTTTGTTCTGTAGATCTTTGGTATTAAAGAAATCATGGGGACCCCTACAATGTGGCCCTTCCTACTTGGCTTTACTTTCATCCCAGCCATAGTCCAGTGTGCCCTGCTGCCCTTCTGCCCCGAGAGCCCGCGCTACCTTCTCATCAACCAGAACGAGGAGGCCAAAGCTAAGAGTGGTGAGTTTTTAATACTCAATTTAAGATGTTGCCTAGGGTTTCTCCAGTCAGCGTAACTAACTCATTTCCACAGTGCTGAAGAAGCTCCGTGGCACTGAAGATGTGGCTGCAGACATGCAGGAGATGAGGGACGAGAGCAGGCAGATGATGAGGGAGAAGAAGGTCACCATCCCTGAGCTCTTCCGCTCATCGCTCTACCGCCAGCCCATCTTCATTGCCATCATGCTGCAGCTCTCCCAGCAGTTCTCCGGTATAAATGCTGTACGTTTTCTTTATTTCTTTATCTAGCATTTATCAGCCGATCCATCAATATACTTTTCCATCAAATTCTATTGCTTGTTGTATTAGAAATACCAGCATGGCACCAATATGCCATGCAACAAAAAAAAAATAAAACATTTAAATATAA